TCACCTCCCACTGTTTCGTCCCTATTATCATTCATCGAGCCTCTAATCGCTCACTCACAGCAACGTTCCCTCCTGCACGCGTCTAAAGCCTTGTTAATCCACAATTGCGCAACCAGTCCAATTGGCAGTCAACACTTTAGCAAACGGTGTTTCGTCTTACCCATGCTGATGTCATTCATCTTTTTCTCCAAGCACAGAACCTTCTCCACCACCACCATCAGCAGCGCAAAAATTCACTTTCAAAAAACAGTTTATGACAACTTTCTTTCCTTCAAAAGTCTGGAGGATACTGACTGTTCAAAAACTCTCTCACCGCCACTTCATCACGTTTCCACTGCTCCATGCGGATTCGTACCGATTCCAGGGCTTGCGCAATCACTCGCGGACAGGGTGTGTCGTGTCTTTCAAAGAAGGCCTAGAAAAGTGTAGAGGTGAGGAGAGGGCACATTTGTCATTGGAAAGAAGACTGACAAAGAGGGAAGGGAATACCAACCTTGATATCTTCGTAGTGTTTTAGCGAGGCGAAACCCGAAATACTGCCCTGCGGATGGCAGAGGAAGGGAAAGGGATTTATCAAGGAACTTGAGCATTTGTTAGTGCTGGAAATAACAACAAAATCTTGTATGTGCTTCTCATCCATAACAAGACGTATTGCAGAACTACATCAGGGCTGCTCGTTACTAGGTAATCGCTTCTTGTTTACCCTTTCAGGGTTTGTTTGTTGTTCTTCGACAAAGTTCATTCGGATCACTGCGAAAATCTTCTAGCATCTCAGCCCTTTCCCCACCCTTCTATTCATGAAAACTTTCTACGCTAGTACAGCTAGCAACAGCGCTGTGTTTCATGTTTTTGTCAACCTACCGCCAGAACCTTGCCGAGGAGATGCGAAGTTCCCAGGTCCTTAGACAACCTTGCAAATTGAGTACGAACAAGATTCCAAAGGGCTCGTCTACCACCTGCAGTTACAGTGGCACCGAGAAGGACATGAAATCGGTCCTGCTTGCGTATTTCCTCCGTGAAGGTGAAGTTGAAGAGGCGATGAATGATGTTAGCATCGGTAGCGGCACCGAGGCTGGAGAGAATGCGCACCCTCTCATCATCCAGAGTCGCAAAACTGTAAAGCTGATGGAAGAAAAGAAAAACAAAATTGTTTCAAGTCACCTGTCTCCAATCCCTCAAATAGTGCTTCTACTCCCCGTCCGCGCCCTACGCTACGACGCCACCCTCAATCCATCCTTTGCTTTTCTACCTTTCAATCCACATCACTGACCCTAAAATGCGGTATTGTCAACATATCCCGCTTTTCCAGTTCAACTTAACCTCCGCTAAATTATAGACCATTCAAACCGTTCGTCGGCGTACATCCAGAAGCATGGAAAACTCCTCTTCTCCACCATTACGCATGCAGATGGAGTAAACTGCACTTCGAAGGTCAGGGGGGATAAGGTTTGCCTCGCCTTTCGTGATTCGATCGGATAACTCGGAGATAGCGGCTCTGTAGTGATGCTGAAAGGCACTTTGAGCCCTTGTGATGACATCGCTGTAGCCAATACTACCAAGAATGGAGATGATAATGGGACGGAGGATCTGAACTCGGTTCGAATCCTTGGGGTTCGGTGTGAAACCTGATAACACAGCAGGAGGAGGGAGAAGGTTAGACTTTGATAAAAGGAAAGTAATTTCATGCACCTTTCTCGAGTCCATCCATCGAAACGCCTTTGATGCACTCGCACATTTGTGAATGGATCGAGGTCATTTATTCTGTCTTTGAAATTTGCCTATCATTATAAATTCATTAGTCTAACGGATCACTGCAGACTCCTCTGCCTCACTGTCAACACTGGCACACTTCACCACCTCGTTTTCATCATTGCCTGTCAAGCAAGTGTCTCATTAACAACTCCCAGCCGAATATGCTCCTTTTTGTTACAGCATTGATGTGTCCTTCAAAGGAAGCCGTACGATCAAGTCGGTAATGGACAATGGGTTTGACCTCACTCACCAATTTTCGCATAGACAGGCAACGCCAACTCCGCGCACAATTTGTCCAATCCACAAATCTCGCTGGATGGCTGAGGGAAGACAATTCCGTCTTTCTCGGGATAAGTTGCCTCTTCAAGTAGGATTCGCACCTCTGCCAAACACTCTGACAGCACTGACCACACACTGTATCGTCGCTCTCCAACAAATGCTAGACAGAAGTTAAGCGCCTTATCCAGTCCTTGCAAGCCCGCACGGGCGAGTGCAAACTGATCATCCAGTAGGGCGATACGGTCCCGTGTTGGTATAGCTCCACTGCTAATAGCATCCATAATGGTGTCCAACATGATAGAGTCGTAACGCACGCGATAAAATCCGATGGCGTCGGGATTGAGGCGAACTTGAGGGGCTTGAACGACATTAGGCAGGGTGTAGATCGTTTCCTCCGAACCGACATCCGTCGACGCTGAGGGTTGACTTCGGACTCCCCGACAAGGGACTTTAGACAAGGAGGAATCGGCGCCAAAAGTGATTTTGTTAAGGAAGATGCTTTTGGAGTCTTTCACATCGCAGACGGCAATTGGGATGCGCCATCGAACTGGCGGTTCACCTTTACAGGAGTTAGAAGACAGGTGAGTCATTTTTCTCTCTCTTGCACTTTAACAATGCCGAATGTCACAATGTTAAAACAAGTACTCATACCACGGTCAACCTAATTTCTATGACTCGTCAGATCAGTGGCTAGAAGAAAGCGAGCTCGTGGGTTGTAAGGAATGGTACAGCAAGATTATAACGAAAAAATAGCACTAAACAGTCGGTTTCACCTCTCATTCACCTGAAGAGTGAGTAGAAGATGTGGGGAGAATTGTAACCGACAACTAGAAAATGAAGCTCTTTTGAAAAAAGTGAGGGAATGAAGATGGTACAGGGCGTCAACAAATCAACGACAAAAGGGGAATGGCAATAGCATCCTACTTCTTGCAGAGGTGCTGTCAGCAAGGAATCGTTGCTGCTTTAGTCCAATGCTGTGCGTTCCGTCTGACGCGTGAATGGGACGGGCGAAGATTACGGGATAACCTGTCTGTTTCGTCCACAGGGACATGAGTTCAGCCACACCGCTAACACCGGTGGTCTCCAAAGCAGCCCACAAATCCTTTGTGCTGGCGTTGGAATACTTGAACCTCTCAAAGTAAGCTCTTAGGCCTTTTTGAAAGCGCTGAAAGAGGCATTCAACCTATCCATTAGGTGACTTATCATTTGAACTCTTAAATCTTAGCCGCTCTCGAGGTGGTCCCGGTCGTACATTTTTTGCATTGTGAATAAGAGCGCAATTCTAATTCAACAGACCCACAGACATCCTTGAGTAAGGTGGCGGAGGGGTTCTCCACCCCTCAGCATTATGTCATGAGCATCAACCTTTTTTTAAGGCACGGCTTTACGGTGCGCATTTTACCTAAGAGTTTGAAGGACATTGAGTCGAAGTTGTCGGAATGAAAGCGCGTATTGGCGAAAAAAGTGGGAGATAACGAAGGTGACAGGCGGTGCTGATGGAGGGAGAAAGGATGCAAGCAAGAGGAAACACTCACAAAGTCGCCCATGTAGTTGTGCAGCATGCGAATGACACAACAACCCTTCGCGTAGGAGACTGCGTCAAAAATCTCCTCTACCTCCTCGGCGCTATTAACTTCAACCTTAGCGGGAGAGGAAGAAGAGGTGAAGGGGGCATTCCTCAACCCATCCAAGTGTCATGAGGATTAAAAAGCGAACAAGGTGGTGGCAGGTAAGTGTTTAGTGAACGTCAAA